ATAGCCAAGAAGACTTTTTGTGATGCTGTAGTCCTTGAGCGTGTTGTGCAGCCTTTCCTGGCCCCAGTGCTCTCTATCAGGGAGGCAGGGGAAGAAGCAGCAGCAAAGGAAATATAAGCAAGCAGAGAGAGAAGATGTCATGGTTTAAGCCCAACTGGTAACTCGGAACCATGCAGCTGCTCACTCGCTTGCCACCTTCTCCAGCCCCGCCCCCACCCTGACCCCTGCTCCTGGACAGGTGTGGAGGAGAATTGAAAGAATGTAACTCCCACGGGTTGAGATAACAGCACTCCAGTAACTAAGGTATAATACAAACCACTGCTGCTACCAATAATAATAATAATGATAAGGGGAATAACAAGGGGAGAGGATACAATTGCTCACCACCTGCTGACTGATACCCAGCCTGACCCGAGCAGCGATCTGGGCCTTCCAGGTAACTCCCCCCAGTTTCTATACTGGGCATGACGTGCTGTGGTATGGAATACCCCTTTGGCCAGTTTGGGTCAGGTGTCCTGTCTCTGCTCCCTCCTGGCTTCTTGCGACTCTCCTCACTGGCGGAGCATGAGAGACTGAAAAGTCCTTGATCAGGGTAAGCATTACTTAAAACACCAATGTTTTAGTTCTTTCTATCAGCATTATTCTCAGATTAAAGCCCAAAACGCAGCCCTGCACCAGCTACTAAGGAGGAGAAAAACAACTTACAGCTGAACTCAGGACAGAAGACTAGGTATACATAAAGGAAAGAGCCTACGCAGAAGGAAATTAGATATGGAAAGGGCATTTAAGCAGGAGAACTGTTGTCACCCTCCTGGTAGAGCAGTTCCTTTTATAACCTATGAAATGTGATATACCATTTATCATTTATCCAGCTGGAAAGAGATGGAATGGAACAAAAATTATTTTGTATTGGTAGATGTTAGTGTGCATGTGGAATGATATCCAAATATCTATCTTCAAGGTAAGAATACTTGTATTAAAAGGTGATTGTTAGTTAGTCTTTTTAATTTTTCTTTATTTTTTCTTTTAATATCAGATTCCAGATAGGGAGTTCTTGCTAAGAGTTTCTTACATGGAAATCTACAATGAAACCATTACGGATTTGCTTTGTGATAAAAGGAAAAAGAAGCCTCTGGGAATTCGTGAGGATGTTGGTGTAAGTGGATGTGAAGTAGTGTATCTGCTTGGAGTGGAAGTAGTTTTTTTAAAAAAAAAAAGCCTTCAGAGGTATGTAGGTGACTTTTTTTTTTCTGTGTTAGATTGTGTAATAATTATCTTCAGAATTAGCAGGACACTTGGTGTAGTAGAACAACAACAGTGAATTTGGGCTTGCTGTTCTTGGTTTCTGTATAACTGTTTGCAAAAGTAGACTTAATCCCTTAAGCTTTCCACGATAATATATCATAGAATGGTTTGGGTTGAAAAGGACCTTAAGATCATCTACTTCTAACCCCCTGCTATGGGCAGGGATGCCTCACACTAGATCCTGTCACCCAAGACTCCATCCAATCTGGCCTTAAAGGCTGCCAGAGATGGAGCATTTACCATTTCTTTGGGCAACCCATTCCAGTGCCTCACCACCCTCATAGTAAAGAACTTTCTTGCATCTAACCTGAATTTCCCCTGTTGAAGTTTAGACCCATTACCCTTTGGCCTATTGCTACAGTCCCTAATGAAGAGTCCCTCCCCAGCATCCTTGTAGGCCCACTTCACATACTGGAAGGCTGCTATGAGGTCTCCATGCACTCTCCTCCTCTCCGAGCTGAACAGCCTCAACTTGCTCAACCTGTTTTCATATGGGAGGTGTTTCAGCCCCCTGATCATCCTTGCGGCCCTCCTCTGGATTTACTCCAACAGCTCCATGTCCTTCTTCTGTTGAGGATGCCAGAACTGCACACAGTATTCCAAGTGGGGTTTCACAAGAGCAGAGTAGAGGGGGAGAATCACCTCCTTTGACCTGCTGATTCCCACACCTTTTGGTGCAGCCCAAGATACAGTTGGCTTCCTGGGCTGTGAGCGTACACTGCTGGCTCACGTTCAGTTTCTCATTGACCAACACCCCCAAGTCCTCCTCTGCAGGGCTACTCTGAATCACTTCCCTGCCCAACCTGTAGCTGTGCCTGGGACTGCCCCAACCCAGGTGTTTAACTTTGACAGTGGATATCTGGGAGTTGTCTAGCTAATAAAACTTCTAGAAACATGACTTTAAGCCTTTAGCTCAATGTGTTACACTATCTTCACATTATCTACAAAGTAGATACACTTCTACTGTAATCATAGGATAACCATCAGACTAGAAGTCTGCAGTAAGATGATCAGTAGGGGGAAAAAAAAAAATCTATATTAATGCCATCTTTGGTTTCAAGTTTTGTAGCAAATGATGAAAACTGGTGATTTGGGAAGGCAGGGAATATTTTGGCTTCAGGAGCTTTTAATTCTTCCAATGCCCTAAATGATCAATGTTTTCGGAAACTGGGGCAAAGGGAGATTTCTCAGTTGTATGATTATGGCCTTATAACATTTACTGAGAAACACGCTCCTGGGTTTCCTCAGAAAAATGTCCAGAAGGATATTTCTCTTAGCAGTTTTATATTTAGGAAACATTCTAGATCTTTGTCGTTTGATTCTTGTCCCTAAAGGGACTATAGTTTTGATAAAGGTCTAAACTTGCCCCATCCCTTGTGACCAGACTGAAAAGACATTCAACTAATAATGCTTCCTTAAAAGGTAGCAAACTGGAATAAACACCATAATAATTGCTGGTAATCTTAACTTAATATATTGAGGTGAGTTTTAGAGTTCAGTAAAATTTATAACTGTGTTTTTTCTTAAGAGGAATACATATGTAGAAGATCTCATTGAAGAGGTGGTGGTTGCCCCGGAGCAAGTAATGGAATGGATCAGAAAAGGAGAAAGTAAGTTGCTTAGCCAATGTCAGCTGATAGCTTAGAAAAGCATTGATGAACTGGGTATATCTAGAATCATAGGGCATATCTTTGAGATTATATTCAGAAATCAATGTTGTCAGATAGTTTTGGAATTGTACTTGCTGTCTGTTATCTCCAGTTTCTCAGAATATAAGCAGAAATATTCTAATGTTTCTTTTCGACAGAAAATCGCCATTACGGAGAAACAAAAATGAATGAACACAGCAGCCGTTCTCACACAATCTTCAGAATGGTAAAAATTCATTATTAAGAGGGGTGTTAATATTTTTTGAAGTGGCTTAAACTTTCTTTCGCTGTTGTCTTCTAGATCATCGAAAGTAGAGAACGAAGTGACCTTGCAAATACGAATTGTGATGGAGCAGTGATGGTATCCCACTTGGTAAGCGGTATTCCAAGAACTTATTAAATGGGCATTTAAGTAGGTAATTTACCATTGCTGCTTGTTTGAGAAAATAATACTACTTTATAATGACATTACAAGCAGGCTTTAACTTTTAGTGGACACTTCTTAAGTAGAAATCACTGTTTTGATCTGCATAGGGGGAGACTCCAGGGGTGTTGTCTAGAGGCTATCTTCCCAGTAAAGGGAATTGTGACATGGAAATAGTTTCTAGACAATTCATGCTGGACAGGGGAGTGTTATGCCTCTCCCAGGAGCATAAGGAGCTATTGTCAGAGTGCTCTTGCGTTTTGTTAAATACAGCTCCTGACCACTGACAAGCCCAGTAGAAGAACCTGTAATGTGGGTAACTTTAAAGCTTCTCTTATCCTCAGACTTAGTTGTTAAAAGAACATATGGCCTGCGGCTGCAGTGGCCAGAAGACTAATCTTTTTTTTCTTCCCCTCTCCCCGCGCCCCAGAAGTAGCCTCACTTAGCATCTCTTTGGTGGATTTGAAACATAGAATGATGCTTTATTACTAATACATGAAATAGCCTAAACTGAGAGGAGTACACTGCTTATCTCTGGAGTGTTTTGGTTTCTGAAGACCTCTCTCTATACACTTTCCTTGATTCCTAGGGAAGCCAAATCATCTGGAGGAATGAAATCAAAAGGAAAGCATTTGAGCTTGCTAGAATCTGCATGGCCAGTCTTATTTAGAATTGGGAATAGCATTAAGTTAATCACATGTCTTGTAGAAAGAGCCTTCTGTTCTGGCTTCATGTAGAAAAGCTCTGGGATCTGAATGTAAACACTACTCATGCAATATCTCAGCAATTTACTACCCACTTGTGTTGGGTTTTTTTCTCACTGCAGCGTATGGGATCTACTCTTCTTACATCACCCTCTGCTCTGTCGTTCTTTTCCAACAGACTTTATAGTAACCTCTACTAACATCAGGAAGAGAGATTGGGGTTTTTTTGGCCTTTTTGGTCTGTTGCTGTTTGGAGTTAGTACAGGATTTTACCCTTCTGAAATAGAAACCAATTGAAGTGAGGAGTACTTGCTCAGGCAAATCATTATGGGATGTTAAAAAGTTCTAGTTGACTTTGATTTGGAGTGAGGCATTTCCTCTGGTATGGAATTCCTTTTCTTATCCCCATAATGACAGGCAAGGAGGGACGTACAGCTGATTCAGGACAGGGTGCTAGATAATCTCATCCAGTTTCTTTCGCGTGAAAGACCTGGACCAGAAGATCTGTGATTCTATGAAGCTTCGTATAGCTTGAATTTGTAGTTAACAATTCTGTATTAAGCAAGTATATTGTTTTGTCACTGAGAGTGGGAGGAATTGCACTGCAAGATTGAAAAACTGTTCAGGGTGGTATAATAGAATTCATACAAACTTATTCCATGTTCTTATGTACCTTGAAAATACTGGTTGGTATGTGTTTAGTAGCTATGGATTACTTCCAGTAATGACAGGCCTACTGCTTTTTCTCTTAATGACTTCAGTTTTTTAAATTCTTAGCAGTGATTTAGAGTTAAAGAGGATGTAAAACTAAATTGCCTTAGAACTAACCTGTGAAATGCTTGCTGAATTTGCAGAATTTGGTAGATCTGGCAGGCAGTGAAAGAGCTAGCCAAACAGGATCTGAAGGTGAGTGTTAAAGAGGCTCTCCTGAGAGCTGCTTCTGTTAACCTTTGTGAGATTGACTGTTAATAATGACAGTGTGAAGCTGCACAAAAATGCCTTTATCAGAGAAAAGTGATCTGAGAGGAACGCAATATTCTGTCTTAAAAGAATTAACCCAAAAGTTGTATCTAAGGCTGATTTGTTATACTTACTCATGTAAATATAGACATTTGCGAAACTTAAACAGGAAACAAAATTAAAGTTCTTATGGCCCCAGCTACTTACTGCACTGAGATTATTAATATTTGAGAAAGTTTGATCTCTTATTTTGATATGTTTTGGCCATTATATAGGATTTGATAGTGACTGCTTGTGGGCCATAGTGCATTGTGGCACTTGAGATTTAGCACTTGGATAACACATTTAAGCATAACAGCACAAAAGCTTGAGAGGTTGAAAATACATCTTTTATCTTTTAAATTTAAAAAGATAAAGTATTAAAAAATGCTGTGTGATACCTAGGTGTCCGACTGAAAGAAGGCTGCAATATAAACCGGAGCTTGTTCATTCTGGGCCAGGTTATCAAAAAACTTTGTGATGACCCTTCTGGGTAAGCACTTGTGTTTGTATACCTGTTTTAAGATAAGTCACTAATAAAATGAGAAATTAAAATCCTTTATATATAATCCTGGTTTATGCAGGTAATTATTTCAAATAACCTATTACCTCTAGAAAAGATACTTACTGTGGTTTTTGCAAAAATATTCTTTTTTCATCAGCTTCATAAATTACAGAGACAGCAAGCTGACTCGAATTTTGCAGAACTCCCTTGGAGGAAATGCTAAGACGGTCATTATTTGTACAATAACTCCTGTTTCTTTCGATGAAACTCTCAGTACTCTTCAGGTAAAACTTCTCATCTCTAGCATTATTCAGACTTAAGGCTTCATTGTAGACAAGTTGAAGGGGTGGAAGATGTAATCTGCTGGATTGTAGTCTCTTGAGTCTTCTGAAGTTCCCCTGTGGACTTGGAACTTGAAATATTTGTTTTGCACCCAGCATCTTTTCCTAGTTGTCATCTTGTGCCAGGTTGTCTAACTACAGCTTTCTGGCAGTTGGTATCTCTTCCTGGCAGGAGATAACCTCTGTTTTCTCATCCGCCTTTTCCAAAGACAGTTAGAGCTGCAAGTCTTCACTAACACAAGATGTTAGGCAGATCCTACATGAAAGGACCTGTAAAATTACCTACAGTTATTGAACTATTCATGAATCCTTTTAGGTAGGATTGTCTGTCTTTTTTTGGTGGTCTATTGAGCTTTTTATTAAATACAAGGCTTAGTATATTATTGCTTAAATGTTAGGTTTCAGTTTTTAGGTATTAATATCAAGCAAAGAAAACTTATTTTTTCTAAGGTATGAAAAAAGTAAATGTAAGTATTTATATAATATCTTTTAATATAAGGAAGTGTCTTTTTTTTTTTTTTTATGCGTTTCTCTTCATTAGTGAAACTGTCCTCTTAATTCTGTTGTGGAAATATGAGACAGAGTAAGTCTTTTGATATATTTGTTCTTTTAACTATTGCCTATAATATCCTTCCAGTTTGCCAATACAGCCAAAAGAATGAAGAATACTCCAAAAGTCAATGAAGTACTTGATGATGATGCCCTCCTGAAGAGATATCGCAAAGAAATTCTGGATTTGAAAAAGCAGCTGGAGGAAGTATGTAATAAACATATTAAAATGAGTCTATCCTTAGTACTGATCACTATTTGGAAGCATTCTACTTTAAAACAAAAGTAGTTATATTTGGAGTTGTAGGTAAACTGTTTCAAGTTGTATCTGTCATTTCAACTTAGAGAATAGAAACTGAAAAGGTGATGTGAAGTTTAGAACAACTGATGATTATGGTCAACATATCTGTGTGAAAGCTAACACTGAAGGAGAACTAACTAAATCGCTTTCTTTCTGTAGGTTAACATGTTTAAGAAATAAGTGTCATGCCTTGTAGCGCACTTTAATATTGCCACACATCAAAAGGTATAATTAATTGCAATATAAGAAGTTATTGAATGTCAGTTAAAAGATGAGTTTGTATTTTTCCCCATTACTGATGTAATTTTCCCCATAACTTCAGTTTGAGTTGCAGAAAGTTGCAACATGTAACATCATGGGCAAAACAGACGTCATGCGTAGACACAACATATATGTAGAAAATCAACAATAGTAACTTCCCACCAAACAGTGCGCTCATGTGCAAAAATCTGTGGAGTTGAGGAGCAATCTTGCAAGTCTTGTTAAAGCATAGATCATAAAAGATGAAGCACAGGAAAATCACAATCCTGAATGTACTGTTTTGAATTAAATTGTCAAAATATCACAAATTGTCATATAATTACGGATTTAAAAAATAGTCACAGAAAAAGCTTAAGGAAAAATAAGTGACTTCTTATACCACAAATGAGTTCTTTTTTAAAAAATAAACTTTCACCTAATAGTGTGTACTATTCTTCTGAAATAGTAAGTAGTGAGGAAAGTACTTGAGTAGAGAAGAGTTTGGAAAATCCCGTATGACCTTTGAATTACTCTACTGTAAGCTCAAGATCAAGTTGTCAAAAAAACCACTAGCTACTGTAATGCAGTTCCTTTACAACAAAATAGACTTTCAGTACTTCAAATTTGCAGACACCACATGCATTAGAGTAGCTTGCTGATATTCAACAATTGAATCATAGTTCTCAAACTTCAGGCTTCTGGCTCCATGAGAAGGTCATCTTAAGCTATGTTACACTTGAAATAATTTTTTTTTGTTCTTGGAAAAATCTGAGGCTGTATTGTTTTGAGGAGTCTGACCCCTTTAAATACTAAGTCTACAGGTAAAGTGTAGACTAAATTGTCAGTTCCGTTGCTAAAAACAGCTCTTCCAGACTTAAAAGAATGTGTGGTTTTAAGTATTGGTAGTTGTGTATCTTCCGTAGGAGTACTTTTGTCTCTTTAAGATGCCAGTTTGATTAATAGTCTTTTTATGGAAGGTGTCTTCGAGGACTCAAATTCATGCAATGGAAAAAGACCAATTGGCCCAGCTGTTGGAAGAAAAAAATTCTCTTCAAAAAGTGCAGGAAGATAGGATAAGAAACTTAACTGAGATGCTGGTGACTTCTGCCTCTTTTTCCTCAAAACAGAATGCTAAAGTAAGCACCTGTTCTAGATCTTACTTGTTAACTCTGAAATACTTTGCAAAAGGTAACATTAAATACATATTTGTATTGACAATGAAGAATAAGTTTGATATTCAATTTTTGCATAATTTTCTTTATTTTTAAAGGGATAACTCTTTAAAAGTAACTCCCATGTACCAATTCAATGTTGCCTTGCAGTGAACAGACTATATAGACTGTTGCTTTCAGTCTGTTCTGCTGTAGTTTAATTTTGAAGAAACTGCAAAACGCTGCCTAGTTAGCTGCTGTTACTGTTATAGAGCTAGGCTGATGCAACATCTGCTCTCTTGGTGCTTTGTATCACTCTTTCTGTAAATACTTTTTTAAAGGCCAAGAGAAAGAGAAGAGTTACTTGGGCTCCTGGTAAAATAAACCAGGCAAATGTGAGCTATTTTGAAGACTTCGAAAAACCAAGGCTGAGTGAAACAAAAAAACTTAAAGTGTCTTTGTCATCACTACCAGATATGGAGGATTGTAAGTATCTTCAGGAAAAAATAAAGGAACTTTGAAAAGCAGCTTTGAAATGAGAAAGAATACCTTTTTAATAAATGAATTAAAAAGCAAATTTGTGTTGTTAACATCCTAAAGCTGTATTTAGTTGCCATTATACTACTGAAATTGTTCTGTGAACCCAGTTTTAAGAATTACCTTTAGCCCGTAAGGGAACTTGTCTGCCAGCAAAGAATGCTGCCTGAAAGGGAGCTGGTTTTAGCACAATAATACTGGTAGTTCTTGCACTGGGATTAAGTGGGAGCATGAGTCTTGATATCCCAGGTGAAATAAATCCTAAAGGGAGTAAGTCTGATAGCATCCCCTCCTCCTTCTGGATATTGAGCTTTTTTAATTTCTTAAAACCAAAGGTAAGAGCTATGAGGTAAAAAAAAAAGCATCTACAAATATTTCTGCCATGCAGTAGCCGAAGTTACTCTTTAACACAGACTGTCCATCCAAACCATGTTCTCCCCTCAGTAAAGGGTTTTTTCTGTATGTAGGGGTGGTGCTTTTTAAACCTTGCAGGATACTGTCAAGTGGTTCTTTCCTTGTCAACTAAATGTTTTCCTTAGTCTGTAATTAAGTATATATTCTGCATTTGATTTAGTACTAATTAACTTGTGTTAAGGTGGTCAGCATAAATATGGACTAGATTTCAGTTGTGTTCCCTTTCAGAAGGGAAAATTATGAGATTGAGTCCTGTGCAGTGTGCTACATCTTTGCCATTGAATGATTGTTTCCAATCTGATAAAATTCACAGATAAGAAAAATTCTTGATGTCCAGTTTAAAATCTACTATTTTATTTTTCTAATACATCTTCTTTTTCAGCTTTGTTAGAGAATTCTGTACATGACAACCAGTGTCTAATGGTTCCTGATCAAATTTCAGACATAGAATGGACTGCTGGACCTAATGTGGATTGGGTAATCTATTTCAATTGGCTAATACATTGCATACATATATGATACACTTCTTGGTAAGAACAGCCTTACTTTTCTGTATAACATCAGTATTCTTCTATATGTCTGAAGAATTATAACTGATTAGAAAGTAAGTCTCTTGGTCATCTCTGAAGCTGTGGGATGGTTCTATGAAACCATAGTTTTGTGGCAAATGATCCAGTAAGCTTTGGTATTTAAACAGGACTAGCCATGAAAAGACAAGCAACAAAGAGCATAATACTAAACTTGCCTGATCTCCTAGATCAGTTAACTGAGAGCAATTCTTTCTGTAGACTCAGAGGCATTTTGAAGAATCTGTAGAACTCTGTGAAGCATTAGCGCTAGAAAAGGTAAGTCTGTTCTGTATTGTCTAGAAATAAGCCTGACACTCCAACAACAACTTCTAAAGTTTATTGTGCTTCTTCAGGATGTTGCTTTAAATGAGATCAATGTACTGCAAGCTAATTTTAACAACCTAGTATTGGAAAATGAGCAGTTGAAATCAGAAATAAATGAATTGAAGGAGAAACTCAATGAAAAAGTAGAATTGGATGAATTTGAAGCACTGGAAAACCAAACACTAAAAGTTCATGAGGTAAGGTGCATTGAAACAGAGGTAAGAATTCATTTGTGCTCAGATGTTTTCTAGAGTTTATTCAGTGTACATAATCCTGAATGTTGATTCACAGATGGTGTTAATAGCTACATTCAGCAATAGAATAAATGAAGCCAGAGCTTAAACTGTATTTACTCAGAGTGTAAAATTTAAACTTAAATTTTTGGAGAGTTTCTTACTGAAGTCTGATTAAACACATTTGTTTAATGTGTTTAATTTGGAAATTATATCCATCATTTTCATGTGATGATACAAATTTCACTCAATTTCTGTACAACAGTTTTGCTGCATATAAATACATTTTGGAACTGGTCTGAAGTTACAGTATGGTTGCTAAACCATATTTCACATTTTGTGTGCAAAACATCTTGGTTTACAATCAAAGATAGCTCTGACTTTTGGTAATCTTTTGAAATATGTGAGTATTGACTCTTAACATTGTTTAATTTTGCAATGAAAATAATAAAAATAGTGTGACTAGTAATGCCTGTGGAAAATTGAAACAGTGAATTTTCTGCCAAGAAGTTAGAGAAGGTAAAGCTACCTACTGGATAACTTATGATATAGGAAATGCTGAAATACTTTGTTCTCTTCACATCCTTGTCTTCTTAGTGGAGATGTTTGTTGTCTGTCCAAACATTTTATGCTCTGATTCCATAACCTAAAATGTCTTACTTTGTTAAGTTTCAGCAGCTCAAGGGGTAGACTGTGAAATAAGTCCCAGCAAAAAAACCCAACAACAACAACAGAAAACACACACACACACACACACACACACACACACACACACACACACACACACACAAAGGAAAAACGCAACCAAACAAAACTGTCAAACAGGCTTGAGGTACTGAGGCATGGATGTATTAATTAGTTTCGTTCCTGATGCCTTCTCTGCAGATTATGTGTACATACAAGTCTGTTCGATATCCTCTGAATATGAAACAAAGGTTGAAGCTGAAGCTACATCCTTTTGCACTGTTGCCTCAGTTTACAATCTAACAAGATCACCTCTAACTTCCATTGTGTTCCCTACAAATATTCATGGATCTTAAACAAAATGGATCCATAACAGATTTTTTTCATCTAGCTTGTATTTAAGATGCGTTTTAGAAGACCCTTTGTACAGTAGACTAATTGTGTTATCTTCCTTGTCTGCAAAGATTTGTTAAACACTTGTTGATACCCATGTAGCAGATTAATTACAGCAATACTGAAAGGTCACATATTTCACTGAAAACATTAGTTGAAATCTATCAATTTAAACCACCACAGATGCATACAGGTAAATTATGATTCTGAATAATGACATTGACTTCCGACAGAAATATTGTACCATATCTTCTAAAACAGTCCTCTGACTTTTAAGTTTACAGATCGGGTTTTCTTCTCACTATATTCTGAAATACATAAAAATACTCACAGGAGTGTGCTTGTTTTTAAAGCTTTTCACTGATCTTAAAATTATAGATTGCATTTTCACCTTGCCTATGCTTGTGACTTGTAGATGAGTGCTTACTGTAGAGCTTGTCTAACAAAGACCAACAGAAAGCACTGCTTCAAATTTTCTTGAATTTTGCACATGCTTTTCTATCCAGTCTTCTACTTGTGCCTCCTTTCAGAGGATGCCACTGAATGTTTTTGTGGCTTGCTTTACCTCAGGTTTGGCACCTGCTCATTCTTGTTAGCAAATAGATTAAATCATAAGTAAGTGTACTGTGGTATAAAAAGCTGCCTAACATTACTAGAATTTGAAGTGTTATATCTGTACAATTTCTGTATTAATTGCTTTGAACACATTGCTTTAGCTTCTCAAGCTGTTGCAGAATAAAATGCACTTGAATCCTTTTTAATTACTGGGAAGCTAAAACAGAGCTTTGCATCTTGTCTATCCATTTGAAAGAATACGTAGCAACTTGCTTTGTAGCTGTTTAAATATATGCGTGTGTATATATGGTTTGCCTGCTAATAGAAAAAAAGGCACAAGACAGACCTTGCTTATTTTCATGGTGTTGGCTTCTAAAACTAATGGTGTGGGTGCTTACTAACATTCTCTGCAATTTTGCTTCCATTTGCTCCACAGATACAACTAATGCATGAAATTACCAAGTTAAAGAGTCTAGTTTCAAATGCTGAAGTGTACAATGAGGAACTTGAGGTGAGCCTGTCCATAAATTTACATGCAATAAGACTTGTATGAAATGTGCTTGGTTTGTTTATCTTTTAAATACTGTGTCTGCTGAGGACAACCTAGGAATCAGTGGGCTCTGGTTAGTCTTACCAGCGGTGTGGGGGAAATGTCTAAAACCCATGAATACTTACTATGTACAAAGTAGTCTTTTTAGTTAAATTCCTACCTGAAAACCAAACTAGGCACCAGAATCTTCCTACTCCTTTTCTTTTTCTTCAACCTTTAGGCAGAAATGAAGTCCAAATTGGAACTGCTGAAAGAGAAAGAGAATAAAATAAATGCATTACAAAAATGTGTGGAAGAATTACAAAAAGCAGGAGCAGAAAAGGACACATCTTTTTCAGTGGTAAATTTAAGTTTTCTGGGTTGAGAGGTGGTTTTGGTTTTGTTGGAGGTGGGTTAATGTGGGGTGTAAGTTGGTATAATTGAAACCCGCTTCAAACCCTACACATTAGGAAAACTTTCTACAAAGCTGAAAATAATAATTATTGCACTATCATACCGCTGTATTCTGGTGAAATTGCCATGGGAAATCCTGTTCTTTATCCCATCTCTCAAATGAGCCTGCTACTGTTCCTTTTAGAGTAAACTTCACAAGTTTTCCAAGCCCAAATTTACATTTTAAATTCGTTATAATGAACACATTTGGCTTATTGTTTATATATTTTTTGATGTCTGAGTGTTTATCTGTCTTTTTTAGGGAGATTCTGATAAGCTAATTGAGGAAATTCAGCAGCTGAATAAATCTCTCTTAGATAGCGAAAGCATAGCCTTGGATGCCAAAAAAGAATCTGCTTTTCTCAGAACTGAAAACTTGGAGCTGAAGGAAAAGATGGCAAGTACTACTTAAATGGCATTTATAGCTGTACAAAATGCTGTTAACAGCCTATCTGCTCCCAGATTAGTAAAGAAGGCAATCAATAAAGACCAAATGTTACAGAGTATTTAGAGAAAGCAAAGGACTCATGCTTCAAGTAATATTTTTATTATGGAATTTGTGGAAAATGGGTCTTCAGGAGAAAGATAAGAAGAAACTACGGGTCTCTTCCACAGGAGCAGGTGGTTAGTTTTTGGTTTACCGAGGGAGAGTAGGAATGAACAGCCTTCAGGGAGGAGTTACTGGGACATAAGGCTCCAAATCTAATTTTGCCAGAGAATAAGAAAAGAATAAGAAATATGAACTGAGAAGTGGGACTTCAAAGCTTGCTTTGAGGGAGAAAAGACAAAATGGTAGACATAGTTATGGCCATGACCTCTAAAGTAAGGTGTGTTTTGTTTATATGACTGACAGGAATGCAGTTGTTAAAGTGTGGCTTATTCTGCCATAATTATCAAGGCCAGAGTTGTTCAGGGTGACAACAGGAAGTGACGGATGCAATATTTAAATGTTGAACATGTAGGCTTTCATTTTGTGTATGAATTGCATGGGGTTTTTTTGTTTTCCTGAAGAATGAACTTTCAAAGAATTACAAGCAAATGCAGAAGGATGTTGAAGTCTATCAAAGCCAAATAGAAGCAGGAAAAGCCAGCTACAGAAAAATGCAAGCTGACTTGCAGAAAGAGTTGCAGTCTGTATTTCAAGAAAACACCAGGCTAACTTTGTTGATGGAGGGTAAAGTTCCAAAAGGTACTGTTTCAGGTGGTGCTTTTATTCCTCTCCCCTCTCTTCTGTTTTTCCTGTAATGGCAGGGGAATAGGGAAGACTTTTTAGCTTGTCTTTTCAAACACTTGGAGCTTCTGTCAGTATGAAAATATTAGAGTATCTGGTATTGCTGGCACATAGTAACTGCTTTAGCACATTCTTGAACTATTTGGAAAACAGCAACTTTGTTTTTTATTTTGCATAAAGACAGTCAAGGTAATAAAGGTTGTCAGGGAGAATCTGAAATAGACTGGATGACAGCCTAACCAGTGATGACTGAATTCAGACCAGTAGTTTCATCTGTTAATTGCTGGCCACTGTAAAACACACTTTTCTAGAATTGTACCAGTATGATGTCCAGAATGCATTATGAACTTCCTGTTTACTTTTAAACATGCTTTACTTCTCTTGCACTCCCTTATTAATCTAAACTTCTCAATTCTCTAGATCTGTGCTCTCTTGAGGAGCTGGAAAAAAAGGCAGCTGACTTAAAAGGAGAACTAGAAAAAGCATTGAAAGAGAACGCACTTTTACAAAAACAAGTGAATGAGCTATCAGAATTTCAGTCTCTACCAAATACTATTGAGATACAGCAGAAAGAGGTAAACAAACAATCTTTTTCCTTGTTTCTATAGTGTACCTGACTGGTAACATATTAGTGGAGACCTACTGGATATGAAGACAGAAAGCAAAAAGTTGTCTTGAATCAAATAACTGAGATTTTGTAACTAAGCTGACTAAATTATTGTTCCTTGGGTATTTAATATTTGCAGCTAGGAATAAATTTAAGATCACATGTTTAGTCACAAAGTCTACTATAATCAGGAATTTAAAGTCCAGCATTTGCCTGCCTGCTTACCATGGTTACCATTGATGACTGTGTGTATGTATAACGGTGTTTGATCCTGGTTTTGTCTTCTAAGACTGACCTTTTGCCTAACTGGGCAAAGGAAAAATTTCACGAGTTCTTGGTAGAAATGCTGCCTGAGAAGCAAGAGACTTAACTTGCAAATCCTGGGAAACTTCTAAGGAAACTTTACTGTTTGCTGGCAGGTCAGGGCTTAGTAGGTCAAGTTTGCTATAAATGTGTCTTAGAAAGTGTTTGCAAACAAACTGGTTAAGTTTCTTTATCCTTAAACACCTGCTACTAAGTATGTGCAATGAAAATTATCCAGGGCAAGTAATCTCACAAATTCATGAATGCTTTGCATTCTAGTTCCACTGTTAAACAAAGCTTAATTACATGTTAATAACTTTCTTCGTGATACAGAGTTTATAAGGTATTAATACATCTGATTATTCAGCCAGGAGTATCAGTCCAGACCTAGCTCAAACACAGGAAAAAGTACTTAAAGAACACCTAAAGAGCTGGAGGAGAGGTTTCAAGGCTTTGGCAGGGGCTTACCTGTCTGTCTTCTCTTTGAAGGATTGTTTGCTATGTAGATCCCTCCCAGTAAAGCAAAACCCAATATACTCTGCTGTGTGTTTTCCTTTGTTTTATTTCCTCTATCTGCACATGTACATGTTTTCTATTTTGCAGCTATGACGAATACTGATTTAGAAAATGCTATTTAATATTACTTTTCTGTTGGCAGATTCTTGAGAAATGTGAGGAGCTAAACTTACTAAAATCAGAAAGAGAAAAGCTGCTTTCTGAAGTAGCTGATAATGAAATTAGACTTAAACATATGACTGAAGAAATTGGAAAATCAAAAGATGATCTAGCAGCTGCACAACTTAAATATGCGAAGTCTGATCAGGAATATATAGCACTTAAACAGCTCCATGAAGAACTAGAGCAAAAATACATAGCTGCATCAGAAAACAATAAACACATGAAGCTCCAAATAGATACTCTATCTAAAGAAGCACAAGAGTCTAAAGCAGTTTTGGATGAAGTGAAATTAGAGGTCAGTGTCACCTTGCTCTTTTTTACAGATTAAGACATGAGGAATCTGTTAATAGTATTAAAAAAAAAAAAAAACCAACAAAAAAAACCTTTGGAGAAGTAGTCTTGAAGCTGTAAATAACACTAGAATTTAAATTACTCTAGCATGAGTAGGTATCACTTACTCTATGGCTGGTGTATAAGGTTGCAGGATTATGCAGCTCAGTGGTCTCTTTCTTCCTAGGCAAAGAAAAATATATGTTGCTCCGGGTTATGTGTTCTCCTTCTGTATTTGACCTTTTAATTATTTTTTTCCCATTCTTAAGTTATCTTTATTATGCAAATATTTTTTTCAGATATGCTGCTGTGGCTATCTGAAGTCATAGAAACAAAGGTTCCTCATCAGGAACTGGAGTCTGTTTAGTACAGACAAAAACAAACTGAAGAACATCATTGCATAAATTGGCAATTAAGAAGAGGGAGAGGGGGAGCAAAACTAAACCAAAACTTGAAGGAAAAAAGGGAACTGTATATAAAAACAGGATGCATATTTTGACAAGGCTTTGGCACTGATATGGCTGTCATATTCCAGCTATGGATTTGATAATTCCTAAACTATGCTGTTTCATGTGTGGTGGTTCAGTAAGACTTCTGTTGTTGAGCGTTTGTTTATGTGGTTTCTCTTTATTTAATGTGGGCAAGAATATAAGCAGTGACTTAAAAGTTAAATTATGAACTTCCTATTCTGTTGAAAGCTAGCATCTCTCACCCTTTCTGTGCTAATATAAGATTCTGTGAGAACACGTACACATTATGCAGTTTTGCATTACAATGAAAGTCTATTGCATTGCATTACAATGGAAGTATATATGCCCAAGGAAGTTGCGAATGCTCCATCCCTGGCAGTGTTCAAGGCCAGGTTGGATGGAGTCTGGGGTGACCTGGTTTAGTGTGAGGTGTCCCTGCCCATGGCAGGGGGGTTGGAACTGCATGATCTTAGGGTCCTTTCCAACCCAAACTATTGTATGATTCTATGTTGCCTCTTCCTTTGCAAACTAAAGCTCTGTAGCAAAGTGAAAGAACTGGAAGAAAGGACAGCAGAGCACAAACAACTTCTTGAGGTAAGAGAAGATTACATTCAGACTCAGCAGAAGTTGAATGAAATGAAGCAATTAAAAAAGCAAGAAAAGACTATGGAATTGAAACTGGAAGCCAAGGATTCAGAGATCCAGGCAGTTCTTCAGCAGCTTACTGAATGTCAGGAAGAAATAAAACTGTTAACCCAGGAAAGAGATGACCTGAAGCAAAAAGAGGAATCTCTCCAAGCTGAGACACACCAACTCAAAGAGGATATCAAGGATACTGTTTCGATGGTAGGAATTCTGCCTTTATATAAATTGATCATATGTGTTCAGGGGAAGAGTGTAAGAACAAATATAAACTACTGAAATATGTCAGGGAGTAAATTTTTGTGTGATTTGCTGTTTGCTTGGGGTTTTTTTTAATCAGTGTGCTTACTAATGTTGAAAAATATTTTATTTCTTTTCTGGATTTTATTTTATTCTTAAAGAACATTCTGGCACATGAAGAACTGAGAAATACTCAGAGCATTCTCAAGCAATCCCAGGACACTGTCAAGAATCTGGAAAAAGCTATTTCTGAAAAACAGTCTCAAATTCTGAGTGTTGAAGAGGCACTAGGGAAAACCATTAAAGAACTTGAAATACAGGTAAAACATGAAGTCAAGTTAAAAATGCTTTGATATGTTTTCAGACACTGAAAACAAGCCCAGTTAGTCTTCTTATAGTCTCTTACCTTTGTTCTCTAGAAGATTTCTAGGGCTTTGGTGGGAAGTGGGCAAGAAAGTAGTATGGTCTGATCCAAATCTTTACCAGTTGCTGATCAATTTCTATAGGGCTTCAAGCTGTAATGTACCCTCTGACAAACCTTTGCTTAACTAGTGTGTCCCATGGTTGTCAATCTGAGTGGTGGCATTAGATGACAAATGGAAAAAGAGATAAAGATTATGTAGGGTAGGAATGAGGCTAATGGTTTATCAAGCTCAGTCCCCATGAGAAGTGTAACACAGGGTTGTAAATGGCATCTCCATTCCCAACACATAGCAGAAGGCTGATCCACCTGGTTTTGTGCCTGCTTGTTCAAAAACTGACAAAGAAGGGTACTGAGAATATTGTATGTTAAACAGTTGCTTCAGTAGCACAATTTCTCTGGAAGGAGAGCCTGTAGTGTGTGAGAATATGTTTTTCTTGAAGTATGTCAGCTGCCAGGCCCAGTAAGTCAATGGCTGTAAATTCAGCATTTGCATGCTTTGGAACAGATGCATAAAAATAATCCAATAGGCGTTTCTTCTTTGGTTGCTTCCCCCTCAGGCTTTTTCCAGATAAAAATTGGCCCAATATGGCAGAAGAGACTGGTCAAAGGTTAGCTTTTAAAACAAATTGACAAAGGCCAAAGACTCAGTCCTGGAGTTTCTAGTTTTGGTTACAGTGGTTAAAAATAATGTAGTCAAGTATATCAAATATTTGCATTTAATTTTGATTTTGAGTTGATAGAAATACAGTCTTTGCACATTTTTTGTAGATATCACAAATGACAGAAGAAATAAAAATCATCACATCAGAGAGAGACCAGCTTGCTGAGGAAAAGTTGGTAAATAACCGTAGAGAAAGTGATGAGCTTCAGGTGCAAAAGGAACAAATACTTGTCCTTACACAAGAGAACAATTCATTGCGGGATAAACTGGACAGTTTACATCTGAAACAAGAAGGGGAAGGAACTTCGGTAATTATGCTAAGGCTGTAATGGAAAGCATGCTTACTTAGACTTCATCTTGAGTGAAAATAACGTGGAAAAGAAAACTGGAGAAAGGGTCCTGCTACTTGACTGCAGACCATTAAACACTAGTAGCAGTGTTTGTTTGAAATGCATCCCACACACATTGTTGTGTATGGACAGCTAGTAGGAGAAAGACGAACACTTTTTTGTAAATTCAATTTTAGCTTGATACAGGATGGTGGTAGTGAGTTGATCTGCACAGAGATGTAGTTCTGTAAGTAGTCAAGCTAAAAATTGTTCAGCTGGAAAGGGTGGTTCTGCTTTTCCAAAGCATAGTTAGAAATGACTGTTTTCCTGGTAGTGTAAAGGGATACTGCAGCAAACACTTCTTCTGTAATTGGATATGCTGATTGCATATGTGATGTATGTGTGAAAAGTGTGCGTGTATACAACACACTTTGAAAAAAGTAAAGTATGTCTGTATTTTTGTATTTATGGGGGAGTGGACAAATGTCAAGAAAATAATTGTCACCATTATCTACTGTTAAGACTAGAAAACTGAAAAGGGCTCTGTAGCTTGGGGGGGGGGGGTTGTGGTGTTGGGGGA